GTAATCCTCACACATTGGTAACTATACTCCACATCAGCTCATTTAACAAAATATCCAGTAATCCTCACACATTAGTAACTATACTTCACATCAGCTCATTTGACAAAATCTCCTGTAATCCTCACACATTGGTAACTATACTCCACATCAGCTCATTTGACAAAATCTCCTGTAATCCTCACACATTGGTAACTATACTCCATAGTAGCTTATTCCACAAAATCTGTGACTGCATAGCATTCTTCCTACAGATAAATTCAGAGTTATGAGCTAGAAATGGAAAAATCTCTAAGTTGGGTGCATCACCAATAGATAAACTCTACCTCTTCTGCCAATAGTCATGCTAGTGCACCCATTGTATCTGTCAGACAAGACACATTGAGATTTTTGGCTGTTTCCAGTTGATACATTTGCTGACAGTTATCTATTTTCAATTGGTAGAGAAAGTTCACGTGCAATTTTTTCTGTTAGTGTTAAACTCATAATATGGATTCCCTGTCTTTATTTCCAGTAAGATACCATTACATAGGGTTTCTAAGTTCACAAGTTGAAAATTTCCAGAATTTCCAATTCAATTAGGGAACAGTGTTTGATTTTTTTGGGCACCTTATTTTGAGTGTGTTTTTTATTGATATTACAGTGATAAATGGTTATAAATAATAGTGATTAAGTTTTGACTCAGTATTTTTTTTTTTTTTTGTTGTTATTTTGCCTAATAATGCTTTTATTTGTATGCAACCAGCTTTGTTGGCTGGTTGAACCTGGGGGCTGTTTGGAAGAACACAAAGACTATTCATTGCTTATTTTTTCTCCAAGAAACAGGTACGTTTGTAAGTGACAAGCTAGAAACACTCTTGAGTTATTAGATTTAACATAATTTATTTAAAGAAACATCCTACACGTATAATACAATGCTACATGTAATTAAGTAAAACTTATAAACAAAGATTTTAATATAAGTCTGTGTTATTTTGATTTCTAACAAATTACGATGTTATTTTATTAGCTGCTTTACTGTTAATCTCAAGTACATGTTATACAGAGGTTGCCCTGTATTTTTAATAACTTTTTTAAACAAGTTCTACAATACTATAAGATGCTACATTTTATAATCATTTGTTATTAAAGACAGGTATACTTTTTTGACTTGTAATACTATAATATTTTAAATGTAGCCTAGAAAACACTAATAACATAAATAATTTATTGTGTCTATTTATTTTTGGTTCAATTTTTAGGGTAAATTGTATTATGTAGACTATTTATATTTCCTTTCATGCATACGTTATCTTCGTGAACTTTATTTTGTCATTATACTTATTAATCACTTCTGAACTCAAACAATATAGCATAGCTTGTTTAGTGACAATTGTCTTTAATACCTTTAATTCTAGATTTCGACAAATTTGTAGTAAGATTGTGGAAAATAGAAGGTTTGACTATGGAATATTATTTTTCATCACCCTCAACTGCATTACTTTGGCAATGGAGAGACCCAACATTCCACCAGATAGTCTGGAAAGAGAAATTTTAACCACAGCTAATTACATCTTCACTGTTGTATTCAGTTTGGAAATGACCGCTAAAGTATGTGAATTTTTTAACAAGCATTAATTTACCTCGTACTTGCAGAAGTGAGAGCAGTGTTTTCGTGTTTGGAAAATTTCTAAACATATAGTGGTTTTATAATATATCAAATTTTATCTTAATTTAGTGTAGAAAAGTGTTTAAGTTAGCACTCCAATTTGGTATAACTTGCTTTAACTTTTATCCCAGTTTTTCTAGATGTTTTTCAACATTTTATTTGAGTGATAATACCATACTACAATGCCCTATAAGACTAGGTATTATTAAAATGTGTGAACAATATACAAAGATCTTATCAACATTTGATAATGTTTTTCACTACAATGTACGTATAAGATGTTCTTTTTTTTTTATCTTGCAAGGTCATCACATATTTCATTTATCTACAGGAATTGTAATATTTCCAACAAAATACTCATAAACAGTGTATGTATGAAACAACTAAAGAGTTGATGTAGTGTGCTAGTATTCTCTTCTGGTTTAGTGTCAGATGCATTTTCTGTGTCAGTTGATAACTGTTCGACAATACAGTTATAGATGTTATGGTAGGTATTGGAACATGATTGTCATGCACAAGAACTAAAAAAATAGTTACTATATCAAGGTTTTTAAATTATTGAGAAACCTTACTACTTCAAGAGACAACAAATTTAGTAAATTCTTGCTAAATTTGAAGAAATATCTTGGATGAAAATATTATAACAAATTAAACTAGTTGGCTTCTGTGCAGGCACATTTTAAGGGGACATAATGCCATTCCCCTGTTAGTGATCTGATACTTAGTTATTAACTGATGCCTTCATCATTAAATTATAATTATATCAAGGAAAATTCTATCTTAAATTTGATTGTATACTTTTCATCTGTTGTTGAAAAAATGTATTTACCCTGATTGTTCATTTCATCTGGTTGTCATGCTTCTAATTAACAGTAACCGTTGACCATGATATAAGATGACAGAGAGGTAGTTGTCTGTTATAGTTAAAATTAGATGTAATCAAAGGTGCATCTTGTTGGATGAAGCAGGAATAAGTGATGTAGATTGAAAACCATTGAGAGAGCCATGCAGCAGTGAACAGTGGCTAAAACTCTTTCATCTGTTCTGGTTTTAGGTTGTTAGTGGAGAAATAGTTTTATACAAATAAACTTTTTTATGTTAGGCCAAACATGTCGGAAAGATCCTTTTTATTGGCCCGGCATAGCCAGGTGGTTAGGGCACTCGACTCGCAATCTGAGGATCGCTGGTTCGAATCCCCATCCCACCAAGCATGCTCACCCTTTCAGCCATGGGGGCATTATAATGTGACAGTCAATCCCACAATTCATTGGTAAAAGAGTAGCCTAAGAGTTCGTGGTAGGTGGTGATGACTAGCTGCCTTTCCTCTAGTCTTACACCGCTAAATTAGGGATGGCTAGCACAGCTAGCCTTCGTGTAGCTTTGCGCGAAATTCAAAAACCAACAAATCCTTCTTATTTGTGTTTAGAAATAATGTTGCCTACATTGATCAACCTTTAACAATTGAATATTATACCTTTTCATTCGTCTATTGAAGTCTGTTGTTTAATTCTTCCAGATCATAAGTTTCTTAATACCTGAAATATTGATGTTCTTTTTGTTTAATTATTACAATTTATCTGTGAAGGCACTTTTTTTTTTTTTTGAAGAAAAATAGGATATAACTCCATTATACTTCTGTAAATAAACGATTAACTTATTTTTTACTCAGGTAATATCCAAAGGCTTGTGGTATGGAGAACACGCTTACCTAAAAAGTGGATGGAATGTAATGGACGGCATCTTAGTTTCTATTTCACTACTGGACTTTATTTTATCTGTTGTGGCACATGGCAGTAGTAGGATCTTTGCAATATTACGGGTTTTTCGACTTCTTCGTTCCCTTCGACCATTGAGGTAAGTGTTAATAGGTATAAACTATAGAGAATGTTGTATATGTATTGAAATTTATTTAATCATTTAGAAAATTATTGAAGCATCAAATGCCTTCAATAATAACGTTCTTCTAGTAACCTAGCTCTTCTTTTAGTTCACTGTATTAAGTTACTATGTATATAATGCATTTGTTTTGAAAAAAATGAAAATATCACTTTTATTGAGGATAAAAGTCATACTTAAGTATTATGTCATATTTAAATATTTTGTATTTGTTGAAATTTTTTTTGACATGTACTCATACTAGGTTTACATATATATTTATTTTTCAGGGTGATAAATAGGGCACCAGGATTGAAGTTGGTTGTTCAAACCCTCCTATCTTCTCTTCGTCCCATTGGAAACATTGTTCTTATTTGCTGTACTTTCTTTATTATATTTGGAATTCTGGGAGTTCAGGTAAGGTACGACACCGACGCATACGTTCAGCAATAAACTGTAACAATGAACTGTTATTAACTATATAATAAAAAATTTATTATGATTTGTTGACAGGAAATGGTATTTTCAAATTAAATTTTAATAAATCAAAATTTATGTACCAGAAATATCTTGAAAAGCAAGTTTATAAACTAAATTTTTAATTAACAGTGTTGATGCATAAAGGTAATTACATAACGTTATATACAGATATTTTGTAAATATTGTTTAACATACAAAACAGTTGGTGTTTTATTTAAAAAAATTAAAATGTTGTATTGAATGTTCACATTTCTGATAGCTTTCTGTTAGTACATAATTGATACTTCAAAATGTTTGTGATATCAATATTTAATTTTATGGGATTTTCTTGATCAATTTTAAGTAAAAGTAACTAGATACTAGGTATTAATTTATATGTAAATCAACAAAAACATAAAAATTTCCGATAAAGAATTGTGAATTCTTTCCTGTATAATAAGCTTTTCAAAGGAAAGCTTTACTACTGCAATGGACCCAGAGTGACGAATGTGAAAAATAAAACTGAATGTTTAGCTGCAGATCCTCGTAATGAGTGGGTGAATCGGAAATATAATTTTGACAACCTAGGACAGGTAAATAATTCTTACTACACCATTCTATAATTATATTTAACTTATCTCTATGTAATTTTCTAACTTATAAAATGTATATTAAGCAATAAATGTATACTAAACACCAGAATCAAGAAACTTTTCATTTGAAAGATTATATGTCCCTTGAACTAAGCTTGGAAAAACTCTGAATATGAAACCATGTTTAACCAATGACATTGGTTTATTTTTTTAGTTATCAAATAATTTTATGTTTATTCATGTATACACAACCTACGTAAAACTGTTTTCCTACTATCATTCCATCAGTTATTTTTCTATCATCCTATCAAAATCTTTTTTCTAACATGCTGCGAAAGTAATTGTTCTATCATTCTATAAAAGTTATTATTCTGTAAAAATTATTGTTTCATCATTCTATAAAAGTTATTATTCTGTAAAAATTATTGTTTCATCATTCTATAAAAGTTATTATTCTGTAAAAATTATTGTTTCATCATTCTATAAAAGTTATTATTCTGTAAAAATTATTGTTTCATCATTCTATAAAAGTTATTCTGTAAAAATTATTGTTTCATCATTCTATAAAAGTTATTATTCTGTAAAAATTATTTTTCTAGCATTCTATAAAAGTGGTTGTTCTAACCTTCTGTAAAAATTATTGTTCTATCATTCTATAAAAATTATTGTTCTATCATTCTATAAAAATTATTGTTCTATCATTCTGTAAAAGTGGTTGTTCTAGCATTCTGTAAAAGTGATTGCTCTAGCATTCTGTAAAAAGTATTGTTCTAGCCTTCTGTAAAAATTATTGTTCTATCATTCTATAAAAATTATTGTTCTATCATTCTATAAAAATTATTGTTCTATCATTCTGTAAAAGTGGTTGTTCTAGCATTCTGTAAAAGTGATTGCTCTAGCATTCTGTAAAAATTATTGTTCTATCATTCTATAAAAAGTATTGTTCTAGCATTCTGTAAAAATTATTGTTCTATCATTCTATAAAAAGTATTGTTCTATCATTTTATAAAAAGTATTGTTCTATCATTCTGTAAAAGTGGTTGTTCTAGCATTCTGTAAAAATTATTGTTCTATCATTCTATAAAAAGTATTGTTCTATCATTCTTTAAAAAGTATTGTTCTATCATTCTATAAAAAGTATTGTTCTATCATGTTATAAAAAGTATTGTTCTATCATTTTATAAAAAGTATTGTTCTATCATTCTGTAAAAGTGATTGCTCTAGCATTCTGTAAAAAATTATTGTTCTATCATTCTATAAAAATTATTGTTCTATCATTCTGTGAGTTATTTTTCTAGAATGCTATGAATGGAATTTTTCTAACATACCTGGAGAAGACTGACTAGTGTTTTGTCAAAACATGTTATGTTCTCAAAAAAATAAATCACTTCATTATTTTTATAAATTCTTGTTTGCTAACTCATTATTATGTTATCATAATGTGCTTCGATACTCAAATACCAAAGTCTATAAAAGATACACGGTTACAAAATTTAGCAATAATTAATGAACAACAAATATTTTTCCTTCAGTTGTGGTTGTATACGTGTACATTTAAAATGTAAGATGATACGTGTATGAGCTCATTGTTTATTTTCTTGTTGCAGGCTCTTATGGCACTGTTTGTTTTGTCCTCAAAGGATGGTTGGGTTAATATTATGTACACAGGACTTGATGCTGTTGATATAGACCAGCAGGTATGTGTGTGTAAGAAATGATTTTCTTTAAATATTTATGCAATTTTTGTATATTAACATTTATTATTTTTCAACACTTTCAAGCCTAAAAGTTTTTTTACTACATTATCTCAGCTGCTTTGTAACGTAAAATTGCATAAGAGCTAACATTGTCGTGTTTTTGTACCTGAATACCATAATATTACATGTGAATTGCATTTTGAAAGCAATAACAATAAACTTTGTAATAATGCTAGATTTTCAAATAATTCCTTTCAAAGAAACTTAAAATTCAAGCATAACTTATATGTCAGAAAAATCTGAGGCAGGCTTAGCATAGTCTAGTGTTATGCTTGATTCACAATCTGCAAGTTATGGGATTGAAACCCGCCATCGAACGTGCTCACATGTTATAATGTGATGGTCAATCTTTCATTGGCAAAGATTAGCCCAAGAGCTAGTGGTGAGTGTTTTAACCATTTGCCTTTCATCTAGTCTTATCACTTCAAGATTAGAGATGGTTAACACAAATAATCCTGTAGTAGCTTTGTGTGAAACCTAAAAAACAACAATCTGTTTTCGAGTCTTTTCGCACGATGTAAGAGTTGTAAAATATGATTGTCTATAAATTAATTATCAATAACAAATATAGTTTTTCTCCTATGTGGGCTTAAGTTATTGAGTGAAAATTATATCTTATTTGTTAATTGTTTTTCCTTTCAATTATTTCTGATACAGTAATCCCTGACAAGTAAATAAAATAGCTGTTGCAATAAAAATTCATAGACTATGGAACAGTTTGACTTACTTAGTAAATATGTCTACCCATTGGAGTCTAATTAAAACATTGCTATCAGAAACCAAAATAAAGAAGAATTCAAATAGCATAGTACAAACTGGAGTGTAAAGATGCTTAATGACGAGAAATGGTTGGTATCCAGTGAAAATTATTTATTTCCTCAACATTTCACCTTATGGCTTTATCAAGAGGTAAATTAGCTGTTTGTTTAGTTAAGACTAACCATCTGTTCAGTAAGTTTGATAAGAATTTTCACGGGTTATGCTGTTTTTCTTCAAAAAACCTAATGAACATATGCTTTTACAGCTGTTGAGCAAGGCTTTCTTCTAGATACCGTATACCACCATTACATACATCTACAAGAAGTTTAAGAATTTTTGTACACTGACTATTTTGTTGTTTACTAAATATTTTCTAATTGTTTTCCTTGTATGTTGTACAGCCTATTGAAAATTACAATGAATGGCGGTTACTTTACTTCATATCGTTCCTTCTCCTCGTTGCCTTCTTTGTTCTTAACATGTTTGTGGGAGTTGTGGTTGAAAATTTTCATCGCTGTCGAGAGGAACAGGAGAAGGAAGAGAAGGCTCGAAGAGCTGTAAAACGTGCTTGCAAATTGGAAAAGAAACGGAGAAGTATGGAAATGAAACTAAGTGATTTGTAGTCTCTGTCATGACTTGAGCCTAGTTTATCATGGCAAATATATTTAAATATATCTCTAGATTTGTTGTTAATCAACACTGGTTCGACTGATGTTTAGAAACTATACAACAATATATCGTGTTTATATTTATTGTGTCAAGTTTCTTTCAAAAACTTAATTTAATTCCCTAAGGTTTTTGTTGTTTTTAATTCTGTCATGTTTTTCTTGTTATTTTTGAAGTAAATATGTGTACATTTTATATTAAGATGTGTTATTTGGAAAATTCTCTTTATTAATCATGTAATTTTTCGTTGCTACTCATTCTTACTATTTTGCTGCAGGAAATGCATGCAGCCCTTTATATAAGTTATTTTGATTTATATATAATTTCATTAGGAAATTAATGCTGCATACATATTGAATCTAATAATGGTAGGAGACGGCTTGAATGGGTAATGAAGAAAAACTTTAATATAAGTTTAAAATAACAGCAAATGTACAACGTTTTGACAAGGTTTTGTCATTATCAGGTACCCCAACCATTATTAGTCTCAAAGTGGGTTCCTCGTCATTGAATTTGAATACATATTGAGTGTTTAAAATGAAATCAACCTAGCTAGAAACTATGACCAATCAGAGTGAATAGACACCCTTGTGTGTCACCATTAATCGGAAGACACGAGCATAATTTTTGGTTACCCATATTTAAAAACCAAATATGACCCATGAAAAGTTGCATTGTATTTTTAAACAATGGGCCATAGTTTGGTACTGTTTAGGTTTCATTTAAATCTAAAATAAAATAACATTACAGATAATTAATATGAATGTTTTTTGTAATGTTTGAAAGATCACATTGTACTGTTGGTTCTAGTGTTGAATCTTAAGAAATCTATTACCATGCTTGTACTTAAAAATTTATGTTTAGATAATTCGTTTTATAATTAGTGTTTATAGTTATGGTTAAAAAGGCTAAAATATTTTATGTTCTATATATATAAAATCGGGTATTTTCAAGAGTTTCATATCTTGTAACTTTTGGTTTTTCACATTGATGCTAAAACAATTTTCATAGTGAGGGTGCTGAAAAAGATTGAACAAAGCTGGAACCCCTGTGTTTGATGGGAGTCAGGCATGTACAACATTCCCACATATCAAGTCAGGGGGGCTTTTGTACCCTCAGCACCATTAGTTCTTGTTTCCTTGGTCTTTCAATTACCGAACAACTTGAAGTTCAGTAATTAGCTCTAGTCATTTGGAAATAAATGGTTAAAATCACCTGAGAACCAATCGAAGAACATTACAATGACATAATTTATGTCACATATGCTTTGCAATGAATATATTCACAATAAAATACACAAATAACAAATGTTTATTTAAATGCATATGTTCTTTAGTACTTATGAAAATACATTGCAAATTGTAGATTTAAACATCTCACCTACTTTAATCTTATGTGTGAATTATCGCTTTTCAGTTTTTAAATTGTTCGGGATATATTTATAATTTTTGTCATATTTTTATTGAGCTTTTAATGTAAACTTATATCAATTTAGTAATATGTCTACACATAATTCTTTTATTTAATTTATTGTTTTTATTGTTTAATTTAACAAAACTATCGTATCTCCTTTCAGAAATGAGGGAACCACCGTATTATATAAACTTCTCGAAACCACGACTTTTCACACACAACATTATAACCAGCAAATATTTTGATCTAGCGATTGCAGCTGTGATTGGTTTAAATGTAGTTACTATGGCCATGGAATTTTATATGATGCCTGTGGTATGTGTTGAAGTTGCTGTATCAACCTTTTTTATAATTTAAGAATTTGTAACCTGAGCACATTTTAAGTCAGTTTTTCTAGTTATATAATTATTATAGGGCCCGGCATGGCCAGGTAGTTCGGGTGCTCGACTCACAATCTGAGGGTCGTGGGTTCGAGTCCCACCAAACATGCTCGCCCTTTTAGCTGTGGGGGCGTTATAACGTGACGGTCAATCCCACTATTCATTGGTAAAAGAGTAGCCCAAGAGTTGGCAGTGGGTGGTGATGACTAGCTGCCTTCCCTCTAGTCTTACACTGCTAAATTAGGGACAGCTAGCGCAGATAGCCCTCGTGTAGCCCTGCTCAAAATTCAAAACAAACAATGATTATTATAAATGTACAATAGTTGTATTGTTTGTTTTTACTTAAAACTTTCCTTCTAAATATGACATCAGTCAAAAAAAACTGTAGGTCTGACTGTGAATACTCTTGGTATTACAGAAGTTTCAGTATTATAACATTAATACTGAACCAATATTTATAAGAATTAAAATTTAAACAACTGCATATAATTTTAAATACTTAGACATGCGTTAATATTTAAAATTGTGCTGCCAGTGTGATTTGTTGGATGGAGGAATTCACCATAGAATAAAGTTTTATCATTTAAAATTGGCATTTTGTCTTATTCTTGATTTCATTGTTTTGTTTTGGTGTCGTATCAAACAAATTTCTTTAAGTGAATTACCTTTTTAAGATAACTGTAATATATACTTTATATTTTTGTACGTGCTATCCCTTAGGTATGTTTATTAACTTTATCTTTTTTACAACCATCTGTATTTTGAATTATATGTTTTCATTTACATATGTACATATATAGATTTACGTGTTTGCGTATATCGAACACAAAGATTTTGAAGGATTTGAAAAGAAAATGAATACTTCTTTTTAGGAACTTGTTTATGCCTTGAAAATCTTTAACTACTTCTTCACTGCAGTATTTATTTTGGAGGCTGTCATGAAGATTGCTGCCTTTGGAGTCAGAAGATACCTAATGGATAAGTTAGTGACATAAATAAGTTTGAAGTACTTTATTATTTTACAATATAAGTAGGTCTCGTGTATGATTCTAGGTTCACTCTATTTAATTGAAATTTAACGATTTGAATAATCTGTACTCGATGTATTGTTTAACGAAAAAAATGTTTTTCATAATCTCTATGAAACGTATATCTTTAACATTAAAATGTATACTTCTAAGTGAATTATTAATAAATACAGTTTACCAACTACTAAAATCTCTTACTACAGCTTTTTGGAAATTATTTCAAATTCATACCATTCTACATATATATATATATATACATACACATATTTTATGTGGAAACTATTTTTGGACATACTTTTGAAGATTATTGTAACATTCACAGAGTTTAAAATAAGACATATTTTAGTATGAATTACTTTTCCAAGAACTGTTTAAGAATATACTGTTTTTATTCTGTAAATCTAAAAAAAAATTAAGAAAGTATTAAATGCAAGTGATAATATGTATTCAATAAATTTAATACTCAATATAAGAATATCTTGTGTTACACATTTGTTAATACTGCTGTAAGGTTGTGGAAAGAATATATGTTGTTACACAAATGTCTTATACTGCTGTAAGGCAATGAGAAGGATATCTTGTGTTACACATTTGTTAATACTGCTGTAAGGCAATGAGAAAGATATCTTGTGTTACACATTTGTTAATACTGCTGTAAGGCAATGAGAAAGATATCTTGTGTTACACATTTGTTAACACTGTTGTAAGGCAATGAGAAGGATATCTTGTGTTACACTTTGTTAATACTGTTGTAAGGCAATGAGAAAGATATCTTGTGTTTCACAATTGTGTTATACTGCTGTAACGAAGTGGAAAGAATATCTTGTGTTACATATTTATTAATACTGCTGAAAGGAAGTGAAAACTAACAGTTTTTTTTTTAAATTATAGGTGGAATCAGCTTGATGTTCTTATTGTAATTTTGTCCATTGTGGGGATTTGTTTAGAAGAGATGGAATCCAAGATTATTCCAATTAACCCCACCATTATTCGTGTTATGCGAGTATTGAGGATAGCAAGAGGTAGTGAATGTAATTTAATTAAAGTTCTTCATGATTAATTAAAGGATAAGTGTAAAATATTCATATTGTAATTAAAGTTCTTCATGATTAATTAAAGGATAAGTGTAAAATATTCATATTGTAATTAAAGTTCTTCATGATTAATTAAAGGATAAGTGTAAAATATTCATATTGTAATTAAAGTTCTTCATGATTAATTAAAGGATAAGTGTAAAATATTCATATTGTAATTAAAGTTCTTCATGATTAATTAAAGGATAAGTGTAAAATATTCATATTGTAATTAAAGTTCTTCATGATTAATTAAAGGATAAGTGTAAAATATTCATAGATTTTAACAATAGAAATACCTGATTTTGTGTCACAATTCATCAAGCTCAAATGTTAAATGTATTAGATGTGTATTCATTAATACTTTCAGAGCCAAAAGTATAGGCAAAGCAAACAGGGCAGCTGCCCGGGGCCCCCAAGAAGTTAAAAATAAAAATAAAATTAGATGAAAATATAAAAACAGATATATAGTAAAACACAAATATAAAAATAGATCCATTTATTAAAAATAAGTGTGTGTGAAAACGTTTCAAGTCTATGAGTGCCATTATTTTTGAGTCTACTATTTTTAATTTGTTTCAGAATTGATACAAAAGAGCCCCTAAAATTAACCCTTGCCCTGGGCCCCTTTTTCCTAAGTTCAGTCCTGAATACTTTATTGTAAGTGTAGCATGAGATAATCTTGATTTAATGTGAATTCACCAAAATTTTGGCCTATCTTAATTTATATTGTGCATCACACTTAAGTGCAAGACGTGTATGTTATTAATGTGTGTATGGATGTCTATATATAGTATAGGACAGAATTTAATTAATTGAAGAGTTTTTAGAAAAACAGAAAGAACAAACACTCAGATTCACTCCTAGTGTTGTATTGTGAGCATATTGGGCAGTACTGCTATTCTGTTGTGTTCATGATTGCCGTTAATTAAAGATGAACCTATTGCAAAATAGGACTAGAAAATAGATCTGCCGTTGTTCCTTGATTTGAAAATCCTACGTGAGATTGGATTTATGATAGAATACAGGTAACTAAAAAAATCACTTATAATATATTTAGGCAAATTAAAAAAAAAAAACTTCACCCCCCCCCCCAGATTATAAAAAAAAAACCTTTTATTTCAGCCAACATTTTGCCATCGTGGCTTCAAAAGGGGTAATGGTACAAGAACAGTTCTTATCAGGATACACGGTAGTATGTCGTGTGGCCAGAACAACTTTCAGGACACACTGTGTGTTATTAACAGGAGTGATAGTTCAGTGATTTACCACATTCTGTATCTCAGACTGTAGTAATTCAAACTAATGCATATTTTCAGTGGATGTGTTCTTCTGGACCCTTACCTCCCACACCAAATTTCAAGGAAATCCATTAAGAAATACATGAGATATAAAATCTCAAATTTTGGTTGAATTTTTTCCAATTTTTTTCTTTCCCCCAAAAGAGCAGAAACATTATTTGATAAAAAAAACATACTTAAGTTTTATGTTTGTTTTTTTGAATTTTGATACTCTGATAGATATTTACAGCCTGCAATTATGTATCAAATTTGGTCTAAATATAAACTATATGTGCAAAGTTATTCAACAAAACCCACTCAATTTTGACCCAAATTTTTGAGCACACCTACACAAAAAGTCATGTCAGCTACTGGTCTAAAATTTTTACTACAGCTTCACCTAAGAGTAAAAGTGAACCATTTTGATTTTTTTTTTTACATTTGGAGTTAAAATGGCTGACAAAACTATAGGGTGAAGACATATGCAGATACACAAGTATTGGTTAGGCCAAGCAAACTAGATTAGCAATTTCTAGCTCATGTTTTGAAAAGAATCATTCGGGTGGATGGTTATTATTCAATATTCATTGCCAACTTTAAAGCACAAATTTGCTAAGTCTTATGAAATTCTCCTAATTAAATGGCATTTAGTGTCACGTCATATTAGCTTAGTGTAAATAATGATGATTGATATGGCTGTATCGAGTGCATGTGGATGATGTTGAGAAACTGTTAATCTAATTTTCATGGCATTACTATAAAGGAGGTTATTAACATTGTTTTAGAGAGGAAAACTACCACCATATATTTTAAAGAATCTGGTTGTTTCTGTAAAGTAAAAGTCTGTTCCGAATAATAGTGTAGTGATTTTAAAGCTAATGTTGGGCACTATCGAGTGTTACTTTCTTACTTGCTGTGGTTTATTGGTGTGTATTGACAAAAAAAGTCATGAAATCTAATCAAAAACACCTTTGGTGTGAAAAAAAGTGCAGCCAAAAAAGGATTGAATGTGCGACTTAAAGGAATGAAATGAAAATTGGTGGCCAAATTGGTAGCTACACTTATAACATTGATAAGAACTTTACAGCAAATATTTATTCATTAGTTAGCTAGGCTGCGTGTTTTGTTTTACCCACCATCATGCCCCAAATTAAAAAAAACCTGATAAAAATCCTCAATGACCAAAATGAATATTATTGCGCAAAGTAACAACTACGGGTATTTGTGCATAAACAAGTGACAAACAAGAAACATTTTGTTTTAATACAATTAATGGTAAGAAAATTACCATTTGTTGTAATTGTTATGTATTCATGATGTTTTCTTTAAATTAGCATTCATTAGCAGCTTGTTCAGTGTGACAGCTTGTTAAAAATAAAATATCTATAAAAATCGTTACAAAGTTCCTTGAAAATCCATTTAAATTTAACAGTTTAGATATTAAACATTCTTCCATTTAAAATAAAACTGATTTCTATGTATTGTAAAAGCAAGTGTAAGTAAGGCCATTATGTAAACTAGCAAGTTATTTCTCTGTTAGTTCCTTGTAGAAGAAATGTTCAGACAGTTTAGTACTTGTTAAAAACTTTAAATAATTTCACTACATCTAGAACATTAGTAGATGTACTTATATTTCCTTTGTAGTAAACTTGGTAAATTTTAGTTCAAACTCTAACACCCACCATATATCATAAAGTTTCAGTGGAGGCAACGATTTATACTAAAAACGTTATCATTATGTTCAAATAAAATAAAAGCCTATAAAACCAAAGTAGTATATTAAAAACACTTTGAATCAGTTAGGTAATCCAGATTTGTTGTTCTTTGCATTGAAAGAAAGTAAATTATTTTTGATATCTCGATACAAGGATGTATTCATTTTTATGTGTTTCCCCATAATCAAAAGTATGTACATGTCTGTTAATTTATGTCCACAAGTTCTATTCAACATTTGAGTCAATTATTAAAATAATTTATCTCTTTATCGAACTTAGGCCTAACATAAGTTAAAGTTGTATAAAGTACGGCCTATATACAAGTGGATCTACACATTTCGTTGTCTACGATTACAATTTGTTTGTATTGTGCTAGAAATGTTATATTTAAAGAAGTACTGTTACGATAAAGATACTAATTTGGCTGGAAATGTTTTGCTGGTCTCTGCTAGTTAAGATAAATAGCATAGTTAGTGAATACGCAACTCTTTGGACAATACAATAAGAGACAATGTACCCATGATATATTTCCTTTAGTTAATAATTTGTTATGCAAGTGGTCACATAACATAAAAGAAAAACTTATCATTAGCCACACTTTTCCCTGTTAGTCTTATTATAGATGTATTCAGTTAGTAATTTGACCGACAGACTTTATTTATGTAACGGTCAGAATATGACTAATACTAAACAGCTTGCACAAGTTAATGATAGAATTTCCTTAATCCAGCTTCTTGTATTCTACTGTGTTATTAGAGTACCTGTACTTAGATGTGTTTCAAATTGATGAGAACATTTCCAGTCCATGTGATGAAATTAGATTTTCAGTTAGATCCAAAATTACAATAAATATATTATGATTGCTGATACTTGATTATAAAATATTGAGAAATTGGTAGATATATGAAATTTTAATGCACAGTCTTCTGTGCGTATATTCTAATCATATATATATTGGTATCTGTTGTACATGTTACGAGACTAATGTAACATGAACCTTATTTTCTCATTTTATTGCCTACATTTTTCTTACTATTTACTAAACTTATATTCTTAGATGCTGTAGTATTACAGTGCTGTAATGTCATAAGCTGAAGAAAAAGTTTGGTATTGATATGGCTTAGTTTAAAGAGAGTACAATTCAAACTTTACAGCTTTTTGCATTAAGTTTTCAGCTTATTAAAATTTTGATATCTAAAGGTTTGACAGGGCTATTATAAACATTTGAGTGAACACAGGATGACTTTTTTTTTGTCATAGTTCTTAAATTGCTGAAGATGGCTAATGGCATCAGGGCTTTGCTAGACACGGTAATGCAAGCTCTACCACAAGTAGGCAACCTGGGGCTTTTGTTCTTTCTTCTGTTTTTTATCTTTGCTGCTCTCGGAGTGGAACTGTTTGGTCGACTTGGTAAGAAAAACATTTGATCTATAAAATATTTAGAGCAAGAATTTGAATAATTAACGTTTGTATAAATTAAGAAACATAGACTTTTACTTTCAATAGCAAGTATGCAAATATACTCATCGTTTACTCATTACTAGATGATGGTGTATGGCCATGATGACTTGTATAGCTATTCTTTTATTACAAGCTTTTTAGTTTTTAAATAAATTTATGAAGATGATTAAAAGCACAACCACAGAAATGAGGAATAACAACATACTTATCTGGCATTTCAGAATATACACATTTCATCTTCAGTAAGGTATTACAATAAACACAAAAACTGAAATGACAAGTGATCACTTGAGTGTTAAACAAAAGCTTATGTACTAGAATAAACAATCATTAGTGGAGAAGGATTGTAAAACCAATTGTTTAATAGTTGGAAATAGTATAGAACCACACTAAATGAATTATCAGTAAAAGTATCTCTATAGCTATAGAGAAATAATTAATTAGAGTAGGCTTAACTCAGGAGAGGTTATTATTCAAACTGGGTAAATTTTGTTTTATAAGTAAACTTGCTTTGTCTGTGTAGCTCATATCTGAAAAACTTTAATGTCAGTTGAGGAGAGTTTGTGCCCAGTAGTTTGAATGTGTGTGTGTGGATAGAAAAGGTGCAGGAAGCTGATAAAGGGTGACCAGTTCTATATAGAAATCCTCATGTGTTCATGGATACATATAGTTAAATGGTTTTTGGCTTTACCATTGTAGGTAGCATTGAGTAAATGATCCATGAACAAAGTTGGGTCAGAATGGAGTCTTTAATATAGAAATTTAGAAATTGGATAGCCTGACATGGCCAGGTGGTTAGGGCACTCGACTTGCAATCTGTGGGTCGAGGTCCAAATCCCCATCCCACCAAACATACTCGCCCTTTCAGCTGTGAGGGTGTTATAAAGTGTTGGGCAATCCCACTATTCGTTGGTAAAAGAGTAGCCCAAGAGTTGGCAGTGGGTGGTAAGGACTAGCTGCCATCCCTCTAGTCTTTCCGTGCTAAATTAGGGATGGCTAGTGCAAATAGTCCTTGTGTAGCTTTACACGAAATTCAAAACGACCCAAAACTAAATCATTTAGAAATTGAAAACAATATGCTGTTTTTCAGATAGTCATAGTATTTGCTACAGTTTGAACCACATTATAGACAAAACTTACAGAATTTAAAGTTTTATTTCTATATCAGAGTATTTGTGCTCGTGAATTGTTCTCACTATAACATTACAATTCTAAAGAAAATTAGATAGTATAAAAATATCCTGTTTTTTTATTCATTTGGGTGCGACTAAATATTTGAAGTAGTACTTTTCTTGCTGTTATTTCTAATCGGTATCAAATTTAAAAATATGAATTGATTTAGTTTGTTAAAATGTTGGGCAACTTCTACTGTATCATTTCCTTTAAAGCGATTACAAATAAAAAAACATTTTTTTTCCATAAACTGATACATTGTAAAAATCGTTTTAAGTTAATCTTGTGCAAATAATGCATAATATTATTAACATATTAATAACTATTTTGGAATATTTAATAATAAAAAGTAATATATTCTGTGTTGCTTATCATGAATGTTAATCTGTCAGTCGCATCATAAATAAATTGCATTACTAGTTACGGTATGATTTTGTACTTGTACATCTATTTTGCTTCTTAATTTTAACGTTCCATTGTTTATGCAGGAGAGGAGTTGCAGAAAATGTATAAACACGGAGTAAATATTCAGTATCTTATTTTCATCGGTAATGCTTGCATTTCAAATCCAAATTTCTACTTTGATTCTATTTTCCTTTAGAATGCAACGATGATTTCCCTTGTCAAGGCTTAGGAGAACATGCACATTTTCATAACTTTGGAATGGCCTTTCTAACGTTGTTTCGTGTTGCAACAGGTGATAACTGGAACGGGATCATGAAGGTAAATAATTCTCACGTATTTTTCACCAATTAAAAAAATCAAGTTTTGCAAATGTCAACACCATCTGTTTTATGATTATTCAGAAATTAATTTTTTTCCAACATTATAGTTTTCTGTACTTGCATGTTATAGTAGGATGAGAGAAAACACACATCAAAAACACCACAAACCAATAATCAAATATATAGTTTGTAAAAATGTTTATGTTTTTATAACATAAAGCATGCTTTATGTGCCAGCTGTGACCTAGTGTTTAGTACGTGTGTGTGTTGGGATGCAGACTAAACAGTCCAATGTTCAAGAAGTGATGTTGCTTTAACTGCGGATGTAAAGTGAAAGTCAATCTTGTTATTTGGTTAAAAAACCAACAGCTAAGGCCTTTATGGCAGCAGGTCCTGCTGTTTGACTCCTTATGGTCAACAGCTCAAAATTAAGAGACAATTATGCCTGAGCCGTCTTAGGCCTTACCATTTACAATTTGAGCCTAAGGTGCCAGTCATGTTGAAAGTTACAATAATATTTATCTGTCTAATTAATCTGATTTACTTATATTAATGTTTACAACCTGAAGAAAATAATTACTTGATTCATTCAAACTGTGTGTGTGAATAAATTAAATCATAATTATGAACTATTTTCACATTTTTCTATTTAATTATATTCCTGTGCTGAAACCTGCAAAATAAAGCATACTGTGCTAACCTTGTCAGTTGTAAATAAGTTGGTTCTTGTATATAATATAGAAAGTTTATTTATCACCAGAGCTACGTGGTTTAATTATTCATCTTTCAATATTTAAATGTTTCGTGCTGAATTACACATAGTTATGAGTCGTATCATAACTTGTGAGGGCCTTGATGAAGAGGTGTCTGCAGAATAGTTGCATGATAACTCAGTTAGTAGAGTTATAGCTTGTGTAGCTAAAGATCCTTTATTTAATTAATTGCAGATTGTTTTTATAGACTTAAACATTACATTGGCTTTCAACCATATTTTTACTCTTCCTATAGCCCCCAGTGGCACAGCGGTATGTCTGCGGACTTACAACGCTAAAAACCGGGTTTCGATACCCGTGGTGGGCAGAGCACTGATAGCCCTTGTGTAGCTTTGTGCATAATTAAAAACAAACAGACAAACAAACAAGCAAGTATCCGACTATTTTTTTAAATTTAAGCAATAAAACAATTAAAGTCAGGGCTGAAATTCTACCGGTACTCACCGGTACTGAGTATTCGGAACATATTTTTAAGGCGGTACTTTTTTTGTTTTAAGTATTTAAAATTTAAAAGTATTAAAATTTAAGTATTTTTAAGTCTTTTTTAAGACTAGAGGCTTATGACACTAAAAACCGGGTTTCGATACCCGTGGTGGGCAGAGCACAGATAGCCCTTGTGTAGCTTTGTGCATAATTAAAAACAACCAAACTCTTCCTATAATTC